GTTTTCCTAGCCCTAAGAGTTGATTTTGAGATGTTCAGAAAGTGAGGATACTCCACACGAAGGGAAGTCCAGACACGCTTCCCTCTCTGAACTGGCAAACAGACGTAGAGGGAGATTTCAACCATAGCCTCTACAGACCTTTCACATTTGCTCGAGCACACCTGATACTAAAAGGTTTGCCATTTTGCAAAGGTATTAATCTCCCTGAAGTTCTCCCTGGGTTCTTGCCAGGCTGTTCAAGTCTTAAAATGTAGCTCATTTAGCCTTATCCACAGCCACATTTAAAGGGGGGACAAGGAGGTAATCTCTCTTAGCAGCTCTGAGATAACTAGTGTCAGGTCCTGATGGAAAACTCACCAACGTCAATGGGAACTTTTACCTTGATTTCAGTGGATTTTGGACAAGGACTTTGGGTCTCAGTCCAACTAAGCACTTAAGCTTTGCTTAAGCAAAGCACTTAAGTGCAGGGGTCACTGGAAGCATGTTTATGATTCCACTGCCCTCTACATTTAAAGGTTAATACCAGATTAAGCGCTTTCCTGGACTGAGGCAAAGAAATAATACAAAAGCTACTAGTTTTGCTTATGATTCCCCCGCATATTCCCTATCAAAGTTCATCTGGTTTTATCAGACCTCAGAAAGAGATGTGTGAAGGACTGAAAAGCTGAGGACAACAGTCTCTTCCAGAGTAATTCAGCTGTGGCCTACAACTAGCCGGAAGATCATAGATGTGTAACCGGCTTCCTGCCATGTCTCTACTGCCCTGAGGGTCTACATGGGGGTCTTGTGTCCCAGAAGGATGAGGAGTCCAAATCCAGCTGCAGTGTCCACTCTGATGCCTCTTTGCCGTATCTGGAGTGGGAAAGGCCTTTCCACATCAGGCCCGTGCTGCTGGAGATCAATGCCTGTGTATCTAGACCCGTCTGCATGTCAGTGGTCTGCACAGGGTTACATATAGCTCCACTCTGGCTAGTAAACATTCGTTCTCTCTGACACAGACCATGCTCTCTGACACAGACCATACTCTTTCAGCCTCTTCCCACGTTAGCCTACAGCTGGAATTTCCCCAAACCACACAAGTGTACAACTGCGTTCTGGGACAGGAGGAATTAACTTGTTGCACACAGGAGACTTAGAACAGTGTAGGTTGAACCTTGGTGGATACATGAAAAAGTGACCGAACTTCTGCCCCAAACAGCAAATACTGAGCTCTTAAAAAGCCCAGATAATATAAATGTCCTTCTATTTTCCTGTCTCTCTTCCTTCCCCTTCTTGTTTGCATGACTTAGGGATTCACCTAGTGCTAGTGAAATATAAATGACAGCAACAAAAAGGTCTATAAAAAAGACTTTTCATCTGAAATTTCAAACACATTCATATGTAGTGAGTGAAAGACAGTTCACTAACACTGTTTGCCCATTTCTCAGTTTCAAGCTAAAATGAGGCTGATGGCCAGAGCAGTGTCCTTCTTTTCTTCATCCCAAATTAGCCATGCAGTCTTTTTGTTTCAACTCTTGGAAGCAGCAATTTAGTGATATAAAAACCAATCGAGGGCTAGAAGCTGCCTACCAAAGCCAATACCTGACCTTTTAGGTCACCAAACTGCCACAACAACTGCGGAACCTCATTATAGCCTCATTTGAATTATTTCTGAAAAATAAGCCATCTTCCTGACTTATCTCGTTGGGCTAGAAATGTATGAAAAGGTTTCCGCGTTCCCTCGGGGACCTTTTCAGCAATGTGAGAGGTGTTGTCAGGAACCAGCTGACAGTCTCATCTCTGTTCTTCATGCTGATCCCAAACATTACTTATGCCAAGGGAGGATAATGAACTAGAGAGAGGTGTTGAGATCAACCCTTTCTTTTTCTTCTTAGAAATCCTCTCCAAGTATGCAAGGTAGGCCAGCCTTCATGGCTCTTTTTTTTTCTCCCCTGACACACTATTCTTTTCTGTATCACTGTAGTAATCTATTTTTCTCCTTTACAAATTTCGAAAGAAAAATCTCACAGCAGTGAAAATCTAGAGTATCACAGGTCAGTTTGTTTAAAGTAGTGCACCCTACAGCTGTTTTCCATCATATTTCCTACTGCCATCTCTTGCATTATTCTACCTCCAGATATCGCAGTGAGAACATTCTGATTTTGCTTTAGAAGGGAATTGTTTGCAAGCATCAGTATGAACTTTTACTCTATGTGTTGATGGCAAATCAAACTTGCCATTAGTTGCAGATAAATATTCTTTCTGAAGTACTGTTTCTGAAGTTTTGTTTATGAAGTACTGATGCATGATTTACAGATGTTTTATTAAATGAATAACTGATTAGTAAGTCCAACAACGCGTGAGGAAATGGGGAGTTTACAACATTGCCTCTAATCCTTTATGAAACTGTCAGCTGAGGCATAAAAAGCCTTGTGCAAACTTACAAATCATGTCAATAGTTTGGTGAGTGTAACTAGATTTACAATTTTCTTTTTTTTCTTTCTTGGAATAAGAAATAGGTTTTGAGTGTGAAACCTAAAGGCCAGGTTCTGATCCAAACATCTTCACAAAGTCTGGATTTAGGACTTCTGTTTAGCCTATCACAGAGATTGGTCCCAGTGCAAAACTTGAATCAGATCAATAGGCTCCTGAAGCTTATGAATGTTTAGAAATTTATGTAAAATACCATATTGGTTAATGAATCACATCTTCTCCAAATTTGTAACGCAGTTGTTGAACAAACACCTTCTGTTGCTGTCTGTATAATTCAGATCAAATCTATTTGCTGGTGGGTAACTGTGGAGCAAGGGACCTTTTGATTCTCATCCGTGATGAGCAATAACTTTTCTGTTTGACTTCAGGCAGATCATTAGGCCACGTTTGAGATCTCTAAGTGAGGATATAAATATTTATATCCCAATGGTGTTGCAGGGCGTAACCAAGTAACCACTGCAAACAGCTCTTTGGTCTTCAGGTGACAAGTGCTTCATTTTGCTTCATTTGTGCTCGGCCTCACCATCAGCTTCCCAGGCCCCAGGATGCATGCAGAGGCCTGTCCCAGCTTTGTCACAGCGCTGAAGCGCTGTGCTGGACACTGCAGCTGAGCCTGAGGTCATGACATGGAGGCTTTGAAGACGTGGCCCTAATATAGCCTTTTGCGGGGGAAGTCAAGAAACTCAGTACCTCCAAAGACTTGCACTGCAGCTGTTTCAAACTCCTCTCTTTAGTCACAAGGCTGTAACTTCGCAAATACATACTCAGAATTTCTTTTGGTATTTGTCATCATGTTTTGGGTTGGGGTGAAAGTTTTAGGAAGAGTGTATTAGTCATGTTTCATACTGTGCATAGGAAAAGAGGGGTAATGTTTCTAGTTAAAATCTTTTTAAAATCTTGTTTCTTGGCTTTTTTAGAGTGATTCTGTCAGGGGACTAGGGTGGGAAATCATCATGTGCAAGAGCGAGAGAGGAGTGCCACATCAGGGCTTTTATAGAGGGCTGGAGAGCTGGAAGTGCCATGTCCAAGACAGAGTTCCTGGTTTCTTGTAGTCCCCATGACATTTTTGCAAGACTGGAAATGCTAAAACTGACCCAAATTCTCTATGCTGTTTTATTTGGATATGGTGCTTTCCAGATCCTGTCCTAAACTGTTGAACAGCTTCTATTTTCTATTTCAGAAGTGGCTGCATTTCAGGAGCTGGTGAAATGATTAATACATTAATGGGAATATATATAAATATGTTTGAAAAAGTCTCCAAGACCTTTTTTTTTTTTTTTTTGGAAAAGAGCAGGCAAAGAGCAGTTTTTTTCAAAAGCAAGTAGAAATGTTGAATGATGAATTACACATTCCCTAGGGCAGTCTCATTTTCTGAAAATACTGAGATTGAAACCTGGACATTGAAAAGCCATGGTGCCAAAAGTCATTGCTGSTTTTGAAGACCTGGCTTATGCAGCAGGAATAGAGCTTTTGAAAGATGAATTTGCCCCTGTCTTCCAAGCTAAAGTTAATGGCAATACTCTGTGTGATTCCATGACTATTTTTACTTTTTTTTTCTGTTTCATATTAAGATAACGAGAAGCCCATGAAAGTAATCGAGGATGAAGATCTTGTGGACCAGCAGCTCATCAGTGAGTTGAGGAAAGAGTATGGGATGACCTACAATGACTTCTTCATGGTGCTCACGGATATCGATATGAAAGTCAAGGTGAGGGTTTGGGCTCTTGGAAAGAAAACCTTTGGGAAATTATGAAGAAAAAAGAAAAATTATAGAGGCCTGCTACCGGTTTGCACGCAAGACGTGAGACTGAGGCAGGATTTTGTCATTGCTGGTCCAGTGGTTAATGTAGCACATAGTAGCACACAGTAATGTAGCTCATGGTGTTCTAAAATACACAGTTTGGCTGCTTAGTGGGATAATAGTGTACTGCACATCGACAGTGTGCTATTTCAGTGGCCCTACAAAAGAGCATAATGACAATTTGTTGGCTGCAATGGTCTGGAATGGACAGTTATCACACCACGAAAACTGAAAATATGCCTCTTCCAAGAACAGTCTGACTGCAAAAAAAATACATGTTTTTTTCTATATTATCTGGTCTGTTTTAGGCCTTTGAATCTTCTTATATCCTTCAGTGTCATGATGCATGCATAGAGACTGCTAATATCTGCATCCTTTTCTGAGTCTGTGCTTTTTCTTTAACAGCAATACTATGAAGTACCCATAGCAATGAAGTCCGTGTTTGACTTGGTCGACACCTTCCAGTCACGAATTAAAGACATGGAAAGACAGAAAAAAGAAGGCATTGTCTGCAAAGAAGATAAGAAGCAGTCCCTTGAGAGCTTCTTATCCAGGTATTACCTTCTGCTCTTATCTACTGCTAGTCCTAACAGTAATATTCTTCCTGTAAAAATACCCATCCACAAGCATTTGTAKTGATTCTTACGTGAATTAGCCTGTACCTGCAGTGTTCAGGAAATATAGATGCGGTCATAGGTGAATGCAGGGTTGCACACTACTCAGTACTGGAAGTTAGGATGCATATTCTGTTTAGTGACTGCATGTCTTCTGGGCACTAATTTTCTGTACCTAGTTTCCCCCACTGTGACATAGAGACAATGCTGATTTGCACCAGGAGAGCCAAGAGGATTAATTCACGGATGTTAGCTCAGTATTTTGAATGTATGCAGCCACAATGTTTATGTGTTTCTGTCATCCCCACAGTCTTATTAATCCCATTCTAATTCTTTCTATGTAGCTTGAATCAGTAACTAATTCTCCTTAACTTACTCCTTATCCTGCTTGAGATAACTGTTGATCTCTGCCAGTATTAGTCATGCACAGTATTAAAGGCCTTGCAGATGTCTCTTGTAAGCTGTATGAGAGCTTCTGCAGAGACRCCAACTTGTTTATGTAGTCTCTATAGGCCACGTTACTTATCTACCTATGAAACCAAAATGCTGTGTGACAAACACAGCTGGGCTGTGGGGAAATTCAGCTTCACGGCAGAGCTGTGCCGCTGGAGTCCTCTCTGTTACAGGATAATTTGTATGAAATTAGGGCTGCTCTTATCACTCAGGGCTCTATCTGTCACTACTGCATCCTCCTCACCTACTATCAGAAGCCACAGGGTACACTGCTAATGCCACATGGCTATAAAAGTAACTGAGACAGCTTGCTGGATTATGAAATGAGTGGGAAAGAAGCAACCTGGGCAGGCAAACAAATAGGTTGTTGGTTCACAAACATTTTAAAATTTGCTGGCCACTTCAACAGAAAGAACCTTTAGCAAGATTCACCCCACCCTCCTCACCACCTCCTGTTTAGTCCTCAGAGTGATTCACCCTCAAGACCACCAACAAGAACCACAGTTTGGAAACAGCTGTCCAGCACAGTAAAGAGCTTGTATGTCAGAAAGTAGCAGGCTCGAAATCCTTCTTTGCTTGCAAGCAGCCCTAATAATAAATACTCTTTAGAAAAACTGGCAGAAAAAAAAATGCAGCGTGGTACATCTATAAACAGAACCCCTGCTGCACAGAATGCATTTTTTGTTTGTCAAATTGGCATCAGGCTTTAAATACTGGGTGGACGTCACTGACCACGTCAGCTGCTCAGGTTCTCAGCAAGATTAACTTCAGCCTTGTCCAAGACTATATTCTCCTCTGAATGGAAGTCCTGGCATCATCTCTCTGGGGCTGCTTGTTGGGAAAGTCACTTCTAATAATGAAAATATTAGCCTTAACAAGCCTGGCTGGTGTGAAAGGAAACCCTGAGAGCCACAGCTGGCTTGAAAGCCATATATATCAGCAGGAGAGCCTCTAGTTTTGGGGGAGTCCCCAACAACTCACTGGCCGTACTGCCGTCTGGAGTCACAAACCAGAAGGGGATGTAAAATAAGGAAGAGGAGAGCAGAGTGCACACGGGGAAGAGGGTTTTGGCAGTGTTGTCAGGACAAAAGCATTGCCTGTGCATCCATGTGAGCTCACTGCAGCTGTCTGCATTAGCTGAATACTTTCTTTTGCTGGTAAAAAGTGGCCCCAAACAAGGGCTACAAGCCCCAAACAGAGACTACCTGGGGAAGGAGAGACAACAGGAGTGATTTTCAACACTTTCCAGCTCTGTGTATTTCCAAGTAAGTTTCAAATGGCTGGGCAATGAATTGAACTGTCCAGTCAACAGGGTCTGCTGTTCTGATCTATTTTTCCTGACTCTCTTAGAAGCTGTATGTAACCTTCAGGGATGCATGTCATACAAGGAGAAATAACTAGACCCCATGGTCTCTTCCAGACCTGCTTGATATGATTTGTTCCACCACAGGCAAGGGGCTCAGCTTTGTCCTATGCATAAAGGAGCCAGGTGGAGAGGGAATTAGTGAAATAAGTCTCTCTCCTGTGTGTTACAAGTGCAGCTGCTAGACACTCACTTTTATCATTTAATCTTCCCATGGCTGAATTTTCCGCAACTTTTTTTTTAATATTGCTAATGATAATATACTCACACACACAMAAAAAAAAGACTCCTTAGGGAATCCTAAAGGAACTTACAAGGAAGAATTCACCCTGATTTATGCCCTAGAAGAAACAGATCCAACAGTTTCATTCGCAGTCCTTGCTTACAGGCAGCCAAGTATTTTTTTTAATACAAAATGGCACAACGAATCTTTTTTTTTTCCATTTTCAAAAGAATAACCCATTCTTCCAAGCAAGATTAAAATTGGTTTTCAAAATGTTTGATTTTCAGTCATTCAGCTTTTTTTGTTCGTCCTTTTCATTTTTTTAGCAACAAAAGCACAGATGATTAGGCATCCCATCCCCTGCTCTTTCCTCATCTTCTGCAGTTTTGAGCAAGGCCCACCATATTTTTTCTTCTCTCAAGTGGAGGAATGGCTCCAAGTGGAATGACCCATTGAATTAGCCTTTACTTTGAGATCTTCATAAAGTGCTGCAGAAAGGCAGGCTATGACTGTAGCAGAGCAACATCTGCATCCATTTAAAAGATCATTTCCTGCTATAAAAATATCCCCGCAGCTTTGTAAATTCCTATAAATCTGCTTTATTTAGGTTTAGTGAAGAAGTACCTTTATTCAAAAAAGGGGTTATGTGGAGAGTATTAAATAGCCTGATAGCCAGAATTTTAAAGAGGTTACGAGTGTCCCTCTGCCACTGCCCTTCTTCGAGAGGACAGTGGAAGGTGCTCCTGTGGGTAAAAAATAGGGCAAACATTAACAAAAAGTGCAGGATTTACCCTACTGTCCCATACCTGCCTTATATACCCACAGGTTCATACTAACTCATTCAAATATAAGCTCAGATTTAAGCATTTTGAGTGGGCATGGTAGGGAAGGAAAAGAGGTCATTGAGTATTTACAAAGGAGTATGAGTTATGTCTGAAATGAAGATACACCCTAATTCTCAGACAGACCTTGGACTGCAAAATAACTGAGCAGTTCCAGCAGCAGCGAATGACGTCAAAGCTAAAATGTCTGGTGAGAAATTGTACTGAAATTTTTCTTTCTTTTGAGTATACAGTTCTAAGCATTGTTCAGTCTACTGAAGGTGACTTTGAGTGAAGATCATAAGATCTGCAGTGTTAGTTTGGCCAAGCAGCCAAACTGCAGCTGTTTCTTTGAGAGTTTTGGAGCTGCACAATTGGAACAGGCTCTATCCTTTCCCAGCAATGGATGGAACTGGGAAGATCTGCCATCTAGCTGTTACTTGGAGGTTGTTACTTAGAGGTTAGACACACCTCAGCCTACAGAGAGCAAGAATCTCTCAGCTCACAGGCCATGAGGGTGCCCTGCTGCACTCCCTTCTGTTTCCAGGTTCCGATGGAGAAGGCGGCTGGTGGTGATCTCTGCTCCCAGCGATGAGGACTGGGCTTACTCCCAGCAGCTTGCTGCCCTCAGTGGACAAGCCTGTAATTTCGGTGAGTCAAAGGAAAATATGCTCTTGCTCCCCTAAACCACATCCTTCCTGGTGATGTGGTGGATTCCTCTGCTCAGGGCTGAATTTGGACAGTCTGAGGAGCCAGATAACTGAAAAGCTTGCTGTAGCCGCTCCAGTGCCAATGGAAAATACTGTGCCTAGCAGGTAGCACAGCAAGCTCTGATAGCCACAGTGGTCCCTGGACTCCTCTGTGAGAGGCAGAAAAGGGTTGGGAATAAGGAATAAAATAATAAGGAATAAAACTGCTGGGGCTTGCTCTTCTAATTTCTTCTGATTGCACATATTAATGATGCAAGTACAATGCTTTGGGAAGGGCACATGCTCTCATACTCAGCTCCAAGGTGAGACAGGTATCAGGGAGATGCCTGGAGGTCACCTTTTTTTCTCTTCCTTCCTTCATCACCATCCAAAACTGCAAGAAATTTCACAGGAGGCCACTTCAATCCAGAAATGACCCTCCCAGCCCCATAACTAACAGGTCCACAAGATCCACCTATAAAGTCTGTGGAGAAGGATGGGCTCCTTCAGGAGGCATTTAGGAATAAGAACTGGAAACACCCTTCTTTTATGAAGCCTAGAGAATGTCACTCCTTAACTTAGGCCCCTCACATAATGCAAGACTCTGGCGCTGTCCAGACTTGCCTTCTGCAATACAATGGAAGAGGTCCCACTGAAAAGCCCCTTTTGCAATACATTTGAATTGTGACTGGAGAGGGATCTGCACAATCTCATATTTTATCACACTGTTTCTTTGTAATCACCCAACTTTCATTCAGAGCTTCAGCATCATCTTATTTGGTAACTACCAACACAGACTATTTTAAAAGGCATTCTGAAGAGTAGAAAATGACCAAAAGAGCTAATTCCCTCCACGCTTTCCTAGGAGATGCAATGAGTTCCTAACCTTTGTCTTCAACAGGCATTCTTAGTGAAGCAACGTATTTCCAAGCATCTCATCTCAAGTCCTAAAAGTCATTATATCAAACATTGTAGCTCATACAGATTCATGTTTCACAGCTGGGCTTGGCAGCCTGTAAGATCACTTTTTAAAGCAGAGACAACAGTCCAAGCCCTTGCTCAGAACAACTGACACAAATAAATGCCTGTCCTAAGCTGTATCTCGCTGTGATTTGCCGTTTAGCCGTGGTAGGTTATATTGCCTCGAAGTAATTTGCCATGGTCTGGCTGCCACGCCAGAGCTTTACTCATGGCCAAAAGAGTGCAGAGGCATTATACATGTTGGGGGTAGACTCTGCAATTTATTAGTGTGCCGGATGCTTTTATCCCCATGTTATAGTACCACATCAAATGCTGTTGTCCCTGGGATACCGGTAGCAGCCTTTTTGCAGCTGTCACATTTACCAAACACACTCACTTATCCTCCTATTTGGCAGAGATTATGTGAGTGACAGAGAGTGCAGCGAAATCAGTAACTCTCTTCTTCATAGAGAGCTGGTGAAACTCAAGACCTCCTTCGTTTCCTTCACAGGTTTGCGCCACATAACTATCCTCAAGCTGCTAGGACTTGGAGAAGATATTGGTGGTGTCTTAGAGCTGTATCCCATCAATGGTAAGTGACTGTTTCCAGGTTCCTCTGCACTACCCACAAAGGGCCTAACACAGAGAGACTCTTTGCTGTAATGTTTTAGAAGAATAGATTGACTCTGATTATAGTGGGGTTTCTTCTTCTGTTTCTATTTGCTTGATTTTATTTCTTCTTGTTTGTTTCTTAAACCCTTTCTTGATGTTCCTGCACTAAAGATACATGGCTTCATCAGGACAGAAAAACCCAAGGACTATCTAAATGGCATCTCACATTTTTAACCTGAACTAAGGGTCTCAGATATCCCCTTTTCCTGCCTTGAGGCAAAGATAAGGGATGTCTGTGGCTCACGAGTTAGCAGGGCTCGGGCACACCAGTATGACAGAGACCCAGGAGCTTCTCTTACATGGGTGATCTCTCCTCATCTTCCTTCCCATTCCATCCCAGTAGGCGGATTCGGTGCAGCTGATCCTAAGGATGTAGCAATTCATCCTGACTTTCTTTACACTGTCACACTTCAATTCTAGTCATTCTTGCCCTGTATCATTTTTTTTCCTGTGCTGTGTATGTGAACCAGTAACTCAAACAGCACAGAAGCCAAAGGCGTACAAGTGTGTTGGGCAGCAAAGAAACACACATAAAGAAAATGGTACTGTAATACCATTGGCCTAGAGAACAAAGAAAGGCTTACCTAAGCTAATGGATCTATTAAAAACACTTCCTTAAGAACACTTCCTTAGCTCACAGCCCAACAACCTTTCATTTCAGAAGCAGGAAATTCTACCAACTACTTGGCCATATTCTGCCTCACATTGCCGACTCATTTGCCTCCCATCTGATGCTATTTATTTGCCTAACCAAACTACCAACACTGATCCTGCTCTCGTCCTTTTCTAGGAAGCTCTACTGTTGACCGAGAGGATATCCCAGCCAACCTGGTGAAAGACATCCGAAACTACTTCCAGATCAGCCCGGAATACTTCTCCATGCTGCTAGTTGGGAAAGATGGAAATGTCAAATCCTGGTACCCTTCCCCGATGTGGTCTATGGCCATCGTGTATGACCTGATTGACTCCATGCAGCTGCGGCGCCAGGAAATGACCATCCAGCAGTCGCTCGGCATGCAGTGCCCCGACGACGAGTACGGTGGGTATGGTTACCATAGCTACCACCAGGGATACCAGGAAGGTTACCAAGACGACTACCGTCACCATGGAAGTTACCACCATGGATATCCCTACTGAACAGAACAACTTAGCCCTGTGCCTGTTGTCCAATAGCTACGCAAGCAACAGGCGGGCACGCGCAGAGAGTCCTCCCGGGCCACCCAAGTATCCCTGCCTCCTCCTTCAGCCACGGGACATTGGGCATTTGCCTTCTCGAAAATGCACACACTTTTACAGTGAAGCAATTCAAACCAGTAGTATTGATGCTTTAAAAAATAAAGACTCCTTTATATTTTTACTCCTTTATAAACGAAGCGCATCAGCGGTTGCTGTTTGTTTTGTATTAAAGGCAAACAAAAAATCCCCACAGCCCCAGTCTGTGGACGCAACTGTAGGGCAGGACATGAACTGTACAAAAGACATTGCTACGCTCTTTTTAAAGTTTGCTTTTTTTTTTTTCCTAAGGAGAAAAAAATAAGTATATTTATTGGAAAGTAAGAATTTTGCATTGTGCTGATGAAGAGAAGCAAAGGACACGTCAGGACTCTCCCCCAAAATGGGAATTTTAAGAAGCATGGGGCAAGTTCTTTAATAACAATTTGAAAAATCCTTTTTAAGTGCCTTATCTAAAAGGAGAGCATCCTTTTTATAGGGCATCACCATTGTAATTAGCTGCCTTTACCAATGAAAAGTTTCTGTGGCTGCAGCAGGTTTCTACCAATGCAGTACAATGGAAAGCTCTAAGTGCAGAACTTGCTGCATGGCCAGTTACTCTTTTTCTTGGGGTCCCTGCTCTCTTAGGTCCTGCCCACTTGACAGTTAAATCCAAGCTAATGAGTGCTAAGTTGAAACACCACCTATAGCTAGTATTGCCTGTATTACAGAAAAGTGGAAAGCTTTATTTTCATCACAATGCAAAAAAAAAAGATCTATCGTTCATCCGTATTTTAAATGAGTTGTAACCAGCTCTCTCAAGTAATGTTTTAATTAAACTGTTCTTCTAAGTTTCAAATTTCCTTGTCTTCTCATATCCTCCTCTACAGAAAGGAAACAAAACAAAACAAAACCACTCCACAAGGCACTAGAGATCAATTATTTCAACGGTGTTTGGGAATAAATTGCTCTGCCACCTGTTAACCACCTCTTTCTCTGCCACACTTTCTGGAACAGCTTCCTTCCCCCTTTTCATTGGTGTCTCTTAGACATTAGACGTGTCACGCTCTTGTTTAAGTCACTGGTAGTACCTGTGTGCACAGCCATGATTCATTACWGCCTGAGTTAGATTTCTACACATTAAAGATGGCAGGAATATTCTGAATGGTAGGCCTCAAACACTTTTGCAATAGCACAGTGGTCATTTCCAATGCAGAAGGCTCAGCTGCCCAGTCATGCTTCTTTTTCTGGAGTCTGGGACATGGATGCATCCTCCCTCATGGATCCATGTGACAGGGTATTTTTATTATTTTTTCCAATCCAGCAGTACAGCCCAAAAAGGGCACACTCTGCAGGATGATGCCTAGTATGTTCCCTAGCATCTTACGGAGCCTTTTTTTTCCTTCTGACATGGTCAAAAAGTAAACCTGGACAAATCCATAGTTTCACTCAAAGCCAGATGCTTTACTTAGTCACGGAAGGTCTTGCCCTTCTCAATGCCTAGAAAGCAGACACAGATATGAAGAGGCCACAGGTCCTGGCTGGTTGTCTCCTACCCTTCAACGCTAGACACCCTCTGAGACAGGCTGCCCTCAGTCCCAGCAAAGCACAGAGGGCACACAACAGAGCTGCACAATTATCTCCCTCAGATTTACAACCAACACTGAGCAGGGAAAGGGGGCATTTGAAGAAACCATTCTGAAAAGCCTGTCGTCTGCAGGGTGCTTCCCAGCTCTGCCTTATCTACAATATTTTAGCAGTAGCAGGCAGGGGATAAAACAAAAGGCATCGCAGTACAGAAGTGTTTCTTGAAGAAACAGGGGAGGTTCCAAGGCGCAGTCTCAGAAAGCAAGTGCTTGCTGCATCCGTGCATGGGGGCCAGCGCCTGACTGCTTGGCCCAAAGCAAACACAGAACAAAGGCTGCCAGGTGTCCAGCAGCCTCCTCCTGCAGACAAAAGCAGCAGCAGCTTTGCAGTGTTTGCTGTCAGGTGTTCGTTTCAACATGAAAAACAAGAATGCAGAAAATGTTCAAATGAAAGCCCTTTTAAACTTGCATTACAAACCATGAGCTGATGGAAACCAACATCCTGTACTGGGCAGGAGGAGTAGAGAAACAGCTTATCAAAAGAGAGGGCAATACCTGATTTAAGTTGCATGGTTCTGCAGAATTCAAGGTTAAGCTGTGCCTATACCAAACCCTGCTCAGGCATCCTGTGGGATTGCACTGAATGAGGCAACTCCAAAGCGAACAAGCTGTTCACTTACAACACAGGACACTGGGGGTTGGGATRGGCTGTGCAGCAAAGCTGAGTATGTGAAGACCCATTGAATTTGAGGAAATTTCAGTCTGATTTGACATCCTGGGGCATCATTCCTGCCTTCATAACAAACTCGCGCAAAATTACTAGCAACTTTTAGGGATCACCAACCAGCCTCTCCCTATGGAAAACTAAAAGCAATGCCTGAGGGAAGACCAAGAAGGAGAGTCCCTTCCACAACACTGTGTGGCCATCCTGAAAACTATTAGCATTAGGGAGCTACAACGCTCTAAATGGATGCTTCACTTGTACCAAACACCAATAAATGGGTCTGTTCTCCTACAGCCTCACCCTGAGTACAGGTTTATGAAGGTCTTATTTTTACAGTTCTTAGTGGGAAGATTCCACATGATTCCACAATTATTTCTGAACTTCTGTTACATATCTGCAATTTGATTCAGCTCCCAGATGGCTGTTTTCATGCAAGGCCGTCTTCCAAGCACCAGGGCTCACTGGCTACATTCACATAGTTGAAATTAACCCCAATAAGTATTGCTTTGATTGGCTTGTCTTAAAAAAAAAATAGGAAAA